CACCTCTAAACTTACACTTCGCTAATTTCGAGAAAAATTATCTAGTCAACATTCTGACACAGGAAAAAAGAATACAAAGACTCACCTCGCTGTATAGCTTACCACAAAGATTTAACATTTAGGACATTTAGGGTGTGTTTGATCCACATTTTTTTGGAAGAATGTATTTTAAAATAGTAGATTGATGGAGAATATGTGATTGAAAATGAAGGAAAATTTATTGATGTGATGGAAATTATTATTTTATTGAAAGATGTGTGGTTGAAAATGAGTAGAAGAATGAGAATGAAAATTTTAATGTGTACCAAACAGAGACTTAAAATTAAGCAATTTGTAATGAACTTTCAAATAGTGCCACCATTACAATTGTTAACTTATCCACTTCTCAACCAATATGTGGGTAGTCAAATCAGATCATCGCCTAGATTCAGTCAATATTACATGAGAGTAAATTTTTCCATTTCGTCCCTCTCGATCCTCAACCGTCAAATTTTATTATTTTCCTCTCACAAGATGACGTTCTCCCAAACTTTATGTTTATTCTCTCTTCCAAGTGTCATTTCTAGATGTTAATGTCAAATTACTCCTACTTTACCACTCAAATTCGATTGAATCAAATCAATAAACGAAAATAATTAGACCATGAAGATTTCCCTAATTTTTTTAGTGCTATAACCTTCAAGTTTACATTGAGCAAGTTAAACATACTAGATATCTAAATTTAGTATCCAATGCTTAGTGGGGATATGCATGTTTTCAATTTCATGCACATGCTTTATTCCTACTCATAACTTGTATTCTTTGTTTGTTTTTTTCTAGAATATTTATTTGGTGCCCACATTGGGATGTCTTGAGGATAGCTTTGCAATGTCACTACTATTTTCACTTTTATCGTAACTAGTGCAATGCCTTTTTTAAAACGAGTAGTTGAAATCGGATTCCTAGCATATACGGTCAACACCTAACGTCCACTTGTCAGCCAAATCACTTTGCAACGTCACTACTATTTTCACTTTTGTCATGACTAGTACAATGCCTTTTTAAGACGAGTAGTTAAAATCGGATTCCTAGCATATACGGTCAACACCTAACGTCCACTTGTCAGCCAAATCACTCCAATCATACAATTCAAGCAGGGAAACAACACGAATTTAAATCAATTCAATCTTCCCAAACTATTCTTGTACAATGGCTAAGTGATAATATTTCATCATAGGGATTTGAGATTATTTATAACCTATTTCTACCAACTCAAAGAATCCATCCCTTTACACAATAGTTTTGGAAACCTAAATAACAATTAACAATGGCCATGTAATCTACTAATAGGGTTTTACATGGATAAGCAATTTACAAAAAAAAAGCACTAAATAGCATATTCCGGTCACGAATCATAAATCAACATAATTTCAAACATGAACTCATCATTATCCTGCGAGGTTATCCAAGTAACACACACACACACACACATTTTTGGTTTTTTTTTTTTCAAAATTTTAAATTTTGAATTTTTAAAAATATAATGGAAATCAATGAAACAAATACAAAGTTGACGGCCGGAGTCGACTCACCCCATACTTAAAGTTACGTTATCCCAATGTAAAATAAGCCTAAGGAAGGATATTAAGAGCATGTTTGGCTAAGTTTAAAATCCAATTAAAATTGAAAATATAGTCGTTATTGGATCTCACTCGTCTAATAAAAGTCAACAATAACGACCAGTTTTTCAATTTTAATTCGATTTTAATCTCTACCGAACATGCCATAATATTCTCGATGTTATATATATATGGTGATCCATGTCCTCTAACGCTCGACTCTGTATCCTTTTTTGTGTTCATTTGTTTGATACTCTAATTATCTCAATTATGCCTCAAAAGAGAGACGAAATAAAAATGGCTACAAAAGGGTCAGTCGCACAAAAAAAAGTATGAAATCATGTGTGAGTTCAGCTTAATTTATTTCTTATGACATTGATTTTAAATTGTTCTAAAAATGTAAAAAAAAAAAAAAAAGGTTCCAATCTAAAAATTATAAAATAAAAAGGATATAATTTAGAAATTGGGTTGTCTTCCGATAAACGCTTGTTTAAATTCATTATCTCGACTCAACCTCTTTACAATCATTTCAAAACAAGGCTTTTAAGACCTTGCTTTGCTTGCATCGATTGACTTTGCACATTTTTTGTTTATCCTTCAATATTTAACTTTGCCTTTCTCATAAAAAAATAACTTGATTTTATCATCTGACTTAAACTTAACGATGAAACCTTCAACTTCCTCATAAGCCTTAAACATAAAATAAAGTTTAGAGCAATCATTGAAGTCAAAGAATTGCTCGACGGTTCCAACTTCCGTACGATTAACAACTACTTCTCCACACGTTCTTTTTCTTTATTTGGTGCTTCCTCGGATGGGAAGGTCACTCAATTATCCAAAATTTCAGGCAATTGCTCCTCACTTGTGGTAATGCTTGACATGTACTCCATTGGGTCGATTTCTTTGTTGCTTGAAAAGGTTCCTTGAGGTTGCTCAATCAGCATCTTTGAAATCTACCCAAGTTGATTCACTAGGTTCTTCATACTTGCCTTAATATTCAACATCTTAGTTTCATTCCATTCTTGATACTTCAACTGTTGATGTGCCAACTGAGTTGGATCCTCTTGCCATCCTTTTTTGAAAAATAAATAAATAAACGAGACAGGAAATGGGGCAAGCCCGCGCCCCGAACCCGCCCCGCCCCGTCCCGTCCCATGTAAGATGGGGCGGGATGGGGTGGGGCGGGATGGGGTGCCCCGCCCCGAACCCGCTCCATTGCCATCTCTATTTCAACGTGAAAATCAAAATGTCAAAAGAAAAAAAAAACCAAAAGGTTTTAACTTCTTTTTTAATATGTCTAAACTCACATTATTTTGCTGTCTTTGAATAGATGTATCCTCACAACATATTCAAGACATTGCATGTTATATTTTCATTTTGCAAATAAGAAATTGTCTTGTTGTAGTTAGTCATATTATAAAATGATTAATAGTGATCCAAAAAATGTGACAAATGACACGTGAGAGAGTGAGCAAAGCACGTGATGCACCTATAAGGTGATGTTGCATGGAGAGGTGGCCAGTGCATCATGCACCAAGTCTTCCAAAATATTCTTTAACAACCCACGTGCGAGATGTGCCCTACACTCCCTTATGTAATTTATGTATGTCTGTATATACACAAGATTAAGTGTCCTACATTGTAAGTCAATAATTTAGGTTATTTAAGTTTTTTTATGGATTTTTTCTTAATCTGAAAAAAATTAATGGGTTTAGGACAGGTTTGGGCTCTGGAGCAAACAGGGACAATTTTTTTTTTTTTTTTAAACTTAAAAAATTAATGGGTTTGGGACAGGTCTGGGCTAAACCTTCGCCCTTGGAGAGTGTGACACATTATCACTTCATACATGTTCTTGCTTAGTAAAAGATGAGAATGTTACAAGTTGTTTGCATTAATGCTTTAAGAGATTAGCACCTTCCTTTTCCACCTTCAAGTTAAAAACTAATTTTACTTTTATGATTTTATTCTAGCTACGCAGTTTGAAGGGAAAAGAAAAAAACTTCGTTCCTTGCAATAGTAGAACTTAAATGCATCAAAGCCCTACAAAAACCTCCAATAAATAGGAGCCACTAACTCAAAAGGAAGACAACAAGCCCACCTCTGTCGCTCTGCCCGTTTTGGCTACTACGTAGGGGGCTGACACGTCGAAAATGTATTCGACTTTGATTACCATAAGTGTACGAATCGTTCAAGTAATTAAAATGGGTTTTGAAATCCAAGTATCGTTCCCACAGAAATTGAGCTAGTTCAAGTTTTGATTATCTCGACCTTAACCGAAACTAAGTTGATTCAAT